AGAGAAGCTGTGATGGAGGGGAGTAAAGATGGAGGCCAGAGAGGCCTGAGTGATAACTCAGTGCCTCAGATAACCCCCTCCGCAGCCACGCCTAGCTGGCTGCTTAAAGAGGCCTGTTAGGGCCTCTGCAGGTCTCCTCTGTTGGACTCGATGTTTGTTTCTTGGATTGAGTATTGGCAGCAAATAACAGGACATGGTCTGAAGCAATTAGTGTTTTTCATGTTGCAGAAAAGTTCAAATGTATGCTGTTTCAATGTAAATCTTTTAAGACTTTTTCTATTTCCTGTGATATCTGAATTTTTACATTGAACAATAACCACAAACAACACTAATCATTAGGGCTGTGTATTGGCAAGAATTTGGCGATACGATACATATCATGACAGAGGGGTCACGATACGATATATCCCGATATATTGCGATACTGTAAGCAAGACGATATATCGTGATATATTGCGATTTTTTGGTCCAAAAATTCTATTAAATAAAAACATCTTACTGGGAAAAAAATGAAAAACCAAAATTCATTGTCTCAGAAAATTCTAATATTACATAGACATACTTTTGATACATTTAGCTGTGTTCTGCTTTCTATGTATTTTATTTTATTTGTTTCATATTTCTTTTTTCATCCATGATTTCAATTATTAGACTAAATTTGACAATAAAATAGTTTGAAAATATAATTTTTGCAGCTTTTAGTTTTTAATATTAATTTACAATATGGTCACCCAACACTTAACAATAGCCTCTACCTCAAGAGGTAGAGGAGCCAAATGTCTGGCTCACTGCTGCCAACTAGTGGTCAGAGGCTGAACTACAACATAAAAATGAACAGCTGGCAGGAACGTTGACATTTTAAGCCTTAATAAAAAAATCGAAACAGGGCTTTAGAATATCGATACAGTATCGGGAAATGAAATATCGCGATATTTCAGTGTATCGATATTTTTTTRCACCCCTACTAATCATTAGATGTTAGTTTTCAAAAATAATAATGGATTTAGCCAGCGGTGGGCATCAGTCCGCTAAAGCGCAAATCCGCTAATTGCGGACCTAAATATTTCATTTGCGCTTAAGTGGTCTTACTACTTTTTATAATTCATAAGCGGATTTGCGATTTCAAAAACTAAAATGCAGTACCGCTAATAACTAATCATCTACCAGTCATCATTATCTTGAACAGCGGAAGGTATGGCTGTCAATGAATCACAACACACGTGATCTGTCCAGCATCACCCCTCCCAGATAAACACACGTATTTGAAACATATACTTCCTTGCTGACAGTTGCTGTCGGTCACGGTTCTCATTTCCCACAATGCTTTGTGTCTGCTTACATAGCAGGAAGGCAATGTTTAGTACTCCCTTTCCCAGCAAAAACAGTAAACTTTTGTAATCCATACTAAAATTTTGTATGTATTGATTTATTTTTACTTTACAATAGGAGCTCCTTTTTTTAAAAAAAAAAAAAAAAAGTTTAAACGCTGGAACTCAATACTTGTCATAATTGGATTAATGAAAAATCTACAACAAACAAAAGAAAAAGACAAAGAAGCAGCCAAACTAGCAATCCTCAACAACTTTTTAATTTTTACACCAGGATCCAAAGTTCTGTTTCAGGAAATCACATCCCCAGCAATCAACGCTTGTAGAATTAAGCTGTACAAGGGTTCATACACCGCTAGTTGGCAGTGTTGTACATATATTGTACAATTGTTGCCAGCTAGTAAGTGTCAAATTGAACTTGTGYTTTAGAATTAGCTTCTGCTAAATTTTCTATGGCATAAGCGTTTTTGAAGTTGCRGACCCAAATATTTTCATAAGCGCTTTAGAAATTGCGGAGCAAATTTTTGGATTAGCGCTGCCCACCACTGGATTTAGCATTTTGACTTACGAAGTTTAGTAGTTTTTTTTTCCTGTAAGAAAACAAAAACAAAAAGCAACGGCTTAGTCATTAATTTTAGATTTTCAAGTACATGTAAAAAAGGTTTTTGGCTTTCAACCTTAAGTTAAACAAGGCTCGTAGTTTAGCGGATTTAATGGCTCCAGCTCCAGAACAGTCTTGTGCACACTCATTTTCAACAAGGGTGTTTTGCACCTAGGGTTGCAAGAGTGGTCGCAGCTCAGCTTTTGTTTACACAAACAATTTGTTTACCAACTGTTATGTCTAACATGATGCCTCCTGCAGTCCACAAACATAAATCTACTAAGTCCTGATCAGTWCAGATCATACAAATAAGAAAAGTCCTTATAATACAAAGGTCACTGATAGCACTGGTGAGGTAATTAATCAGCATGTATATTTGTTTTCAAGTCTTTATGAAATTGATATAAGAGGTGGACATGAAAAACACAAATGGAAAGTTAAAACTCTTGTAATTTTGACTAACTCTAAACATTTTACTGTACTTCAACCACAGTTGGTACAGTCAACACCAGCAACAATTACAAGCAGATGATTTCTCATTTGATTTCTCATTTAACCAACAGCTGTCTATGTTCATGCACTTACAAGTCAGGTTTGCTTTGAAAAGCTCTAAAGTTCTAGCTTCATCTTTAGCTTTTGTTCACCTCTTTGTGAACTAAGGCATTTGACAATYGGACAAATTTGGCCTGACTAATTGGTGATTGAAATGCCAGCTTCTCTTAGAAATATCTTTATTTATACATTCATTGACTCCAAAATATAAAAGTATTAATTTTATTCAGCTTACTTGTGCTGTATGGCTTCAACTTCAAAGTAACCATGTGGTGTGTTTATTTCAAGGACAATAAAAAAGAGGAAGGGTTCATTACTGAACTTGACTATAAACCAGCCACTCTTGTCATTTATTGTGCTAATAAAGTGCAACCTCTCTGACGTTTGGCATCATTGTTGGTTAGGTAACTATCCCAGACATAAGGAAATGGTTGGGTCTATGTGAATAAAGAGAATGCACAATAGGTTAATTTTTAAATTTTCTATTTTCCACCAGCCAGAAAGATTTATTAACAAAGGACAGATTCAGGCTACAGCCTATGGTCAATATATTAAAAAATGTTTTCGATTATTGCTTAACTTATACATATAACAGCTGTTAGAAGAATGTTTCCACTTAAAATATGAAACATTAGAGCATTATTGAACAAAAAAAAAAGCTGAATTGTAGACTACAGTAATAGGTTGTAGCAGGTGCTTCTGCATCTATATTGTCCTACTTTGTAATTGATTAAACTTATATAGACGTGGCAAATTTCCAAGTCTTTAAAAAAAGTGGCCAATATTAGTTGATTAATAGGTCTGTCTATCTGAAATTAGAATTTATATTTTTTAGACAAATGTCAGTGGCCATATAGAATTGGCYAAGATCTGACGTGAATCATGGATCATCAGGCAGCCGCCATGTGCGAACGCTTATGATTTGTGAGGCTTGCAGTCACGTTCCTGAGTCCAACCAAATATCTTAACATGATTGTATTAGAACCACATTTCATAATATACTGTTGCTCAACGTTCTTCACACATGCTGTGGTTTGGTATAAGAACCAGATAAAGGGAACCATCTGGAAAATGGGTTTCTAGTTGTGTAACTACTCAAACAAAATCTGAGATATTTGCATTAAATTGATAATTGTATAGGACATTTTTTTACAACATGTTGAGTTTTATTGAAAGACAGTAGCCATATGCATGAGGCACCAACATGCAAAGTATCTCTGTTTGCACCTGTGACCAGTTAGCCTTGGAAAGTGGACCTCATGTGAACGAGCAGTTCATGGGGAGCTGACGGCTATAACAGTGGCTCCCATGTTGTTTTTGCAACGCAAACCTCTGGGATCAAAGTAGAGAGGATTAAAAATTACTTTAAAGTGTCCCTCTCACCCCTCACTTTTCTGCCCCGTGAGACGAGAGGGCCCCCTGAGCCTGCGTAGCGTTTATTGTCATAATCCATACAGTTTCAATTGGCWATGGAATGCACCGGTTGAAGCAGGCAGTGTTGGCGTTGTTGAAGCTTCTCCTGCAAATAAAAAACGAGACACAGGACAGCACAGACACAGTTATCACTGCAGGGCTGTCCATGAGACGAAGGGGAATGCCCATGTGGGTCAGCTCTAAAAAAATGTCCTCTGCTTTATCTCCTCGCAGGGTTTGGGGGGGGGGGGGGGGTAAAGAGGCCTCTATTTTGATCCTTTGTTTATGTAAGGAGTGGCAGTAGGGTGTTTGGATAGCACAGAAGTCTGGGAATGTTGCTCATATGAGGTATGCACTGTTTATTAATCCGGTTTGAGGTCTTATTATTTAACGACACTTGAGCTCAGTAGCTGTTGCCATATAAAATATCAGCTGATTGCATCAGTTAAAAAAACACCAGTGCTCGCTGTATTTTTTTTTGTGTCTCAGGGTACAGATTGTTTTTACTGGTAATCAGTGTATTTTCTTCATTAATAAATCTGTTTTTCAGTTCACAAAGCACTTCAAACCTAAAAGATGTTGAGATAAAACAACATTAAATGTAGCTGTTGGTTTTTGTTGTAATATTTTGTCAGTTAAATTTTCTGGTAGCCTAGTAACTCGGATCTAATACAATCATACATATTTGTAGAGATGGAGCAATCCCTGTGATAGATACAGGAAAAATCAGTAGATTATATTAGATTAATGTCTAGTTTATGTAAGTCTCTATCTTGAGGGTTTGTAATGGTTGAAAACCAAAATATAAGATGTTTAAAGGTGTTGCGTCATGTTAGACACCCAGGACAACACATTGTACACAAAGCAATGATGCTTTACACAAACAGGGAAATGCTTTTGGAAAAGAATATTTAAAAAAATACGTAAAAAAAATACTTAAAAACATAGCCAACACATAAGAAAAAACGAACAATAAAATACAACAAGCTTTAAATATTCGCATGATCAAGTAAATTAAAGAGTCTAGTTGCTTTGTTTTTTTATTAAGTAATGGTTTAATGAAATCACCTCATAACAAGCATGWTCACTTATTTTATGTTCCACAGGGACGCCACGTCAAGACTGGACAGCTGGCTGCCATCAAAGTCATGGACGTCACAGAGGTAAGGCTAAACAATAGTTTGTTTATGCAATAATATTTTCAACAGMAGCATTTACAGCTTGGCTTGCAGGACGCTGTAAATGCATAAATGATAATTACACTGTTACCCCCACAGTTGGACAGTAAATAACACTGAGCTTTTGGTTGTGTTTCARTATTCTGTCGTCTACAGTTTAATTCTTGGACTTTGTTTTTATTAGAAGAACCCAACTTCCCTTTTAATTCAATTWTCTTTTATCAAAAAGGTTTGGAATTGATAACTAACCAATCTGCATGAGAAGTGGTTGCATAATGAACCAATTATGACTATTCTAGATGTGGAGAGATTTTTAAAAAATGTAAATTTGTGGAAGTCAGCACCATTAAGTATTAACTGCTGGATGAACAGATGAATAAAAGACAGTCTGAATGAAGTTACATGTTTTTGTTTAGTTTTTTATGTACATGGATTTATTCTCAAAGCTARTAGTTAAATAAGATTTTAAAGTCTGCAGCCTGGATCTAGTTTATTGGTTTCAGATGTCCCGTTTTTTGTATTTTAATCCTGGGGTTTGGAACTTCCTATTCCCTCTTTTTACTCATATATTCCCAGTGTAGCATTACACATCTATCCACTGGAACCTGACAGAGTAACAGTTCCTGTGTCCCAACATGTCTGGTGCCACTCCTCACACGAGTCATGATCAGAAACTGGCTCGACTGATGAGTTATTCTGTGAACTGAAAGAAGCATTGCCCAACTGTACGTCCTAACAAAACTGTAGGAGTGCCATTGTGGCACTCATTGTCTTCCACTTGACTGCTGAAAGTGAAAAGATGTACCGGTAATCAGATTTTCATCTAAAGGTCAAAGGGCAAGTTACAGAGGATTTTAGGCTGTTTTGTTGGAAATACTGCATCATTCAAAATGCCCATAGTACATATGATTATTGTTCAGTCTGCTGTTAGTAGTCAATTTTAAAACTAGCTGATACTGGTTCTGTGCCTTTAAGACAAATATGAGCTGCTGATTTTCCTAGGCAGCTCTCRTAAAAATGACAGGCATCATTTTTATCAGCTTTGCATTCAAGACTCGTGTATTGACATGACTAATTACTAGACAAAACTCACTTACTCTACATCATGTTTGTTCTGTTTTTTATTTACTGGCATCTAACAGTGTGTAAGTAGAGGACTTGGTTATTTTTTAATGTTATATTCAGTTACCGAGTTCCTTTTGGAGTTAAAACCTCATTTGGCCCCAAAAACTACCATATTATTTACATTAATGTGGAATAAAAAGATAATTTAGCTCCCAACTGTARTCTAATCAGGACTGCAGTTCAGTTTTCCCATATTGCACTTTATCTCTTCTGGCTGTAGAGCTCATGCACTGACACACTGGTGTCCAGGGTCACACTGACCCATATTCTCATTCTTAAATCCAAACACTCCTCATCCCTGCTGTCGTCCACCCCAAAGACCAAAMATCGCAGCTTTTTGGGATTGAGAAGAATTTACTACCACTGATTACACAGACACTAGCTTTGTTGATGTTGGAAACTATTTTGTAATCCTCACAGCTTCACAATAATCTGAACAAATATTTTGACAAGTCATTACTTAAACATTTAACAGTACAGTTGAAAATTCATTTTTTTWTATATATTGTTCAGTCATAGTACTTTGACTTATTTATTTATTTATTTTTGAATATATTTGTTCGGGACAGTGTGCAATTAAAACATAATTTGATGCATTGCACCAGATTTAGCCTAAGGCTAATTTACATCCTGTTTGACTTGTCGTGTATTGACATAGTTTATATGGTCTGTGTTTCTCAAAATATATTCACAGGTGGGTGTCAAAGGGTAATTCTATTAAATTTCAAAAACCCTATTCCCAAAATCCCAGTAAACTGTATTTTAAGCTGTTTTCTTGAAATGTATTTGTAGTCATAATGATTGAATTATGTGACCTAGTAGTACCAAAGATAAATCCAGTTTTTTGTTTTTTTCCCCTACCCTGACATTATTTTTCCCTGTTATCCTCAGCCTTCCCCCCTTTATCGTTCCCTCTGACACACATCACCTAACAACTTTTTCTTTCCCGCACCATGCGACTTGTGGCGGCGAGACTTTCACAGCGAGCAGTGTGATAACTCAACAGCTGCACAGCAGAGAGCGGGCTTAGATGGGAATGTGTGTGCACGTGTGCTCAACAAAAAAGCTTACGTCAACACAAATGAGTCACGCAGCAGCAGTGTGGCCGCCTGCGCAGACGGTCAACTGCCATTTTGCAGTTAGTCATGCCAGTATCTGCGCACATAGCACAACTTTTTATTTTTCCCCACATTTTGCTGCATATTCTATTCAGGTCTGTCAAAGCTTTAATAACTCCTGTTATAAAAAAATCAAACCAAACAAAAGATCATTTGACCACACGGGGCGGAGGCTCAGAGGCTGCTTGACTGCATCACCTCCTGCAATGAGCCTCCAACCTGTCTGAGACTTCAGAGTCTAAACCAGGGGTGTCAAACTCCTGTCCTCGAGGGCCGCTATCCTGCATGTTTTAGAGKTTTTCTTGCTCCAACACACCTGATTTTGATCGCTGGGTGATTAACAGGCTTCTGCCCAATTTGAAGAGTTAATTCAATCACTGAATCAGGTGTGTTGGAGCTGGAAAACCTCTAAAACATGCAGGATARCGGCCCTCGAGGACTGGAGTTTGACACCCCTGGTCTAAACTCTAACTTTGTATTATTAAATGTGTTTGGAGCGTCGTCGTTATCTTAGACATGTGCAACTTACATGTGAGCTCCTGATTGTCAGAGGAGCAGCACCGCCGCAGGAGTGTGCTTTAGTTTTTATAACTAAACAAGATCAGCACTATAATAATGAAGATTAATATTTATATCCTCCAGATTATAACAAAGACGTGTTTCACCGTCTGACTTTAATTTTCCCTTAAAATCACGAAGTTCTCTGTGAGTCCACTTCAGGTGTTTGTTTATCATGAGTGTAATTCTACGAGGTGTTTTTGCAACATGTTTGGGGCTGTTTTGTGCTAAATTTATTTACATCCAAACTGAGAGGTAGTTACTGTGATAAATGTAATTCAGTAAATATGAAAAATAAATAAGGGCATGAGCTGAAATCCTGTAAATATAATCCTTTTAAATTAAACAACAGTTTTAAGGGTGACATCTGTTAGTTTGGTAAAAAAAAAATACAATAAAAATAAATTAATTAATTCTGTGCAAAGACCATCCTGCGATATACAGTATATTTTAAATAAATATATCAGAAACCACCTCAGTTGAAAGCACTAAAATGATATTTAAAACCTTTCTCTTCCTTCAGAATTAAGTCTTGACAATCTGAATGTGTTCACAAAGTGGTGAACCTCACTCCAGCCTTGCTTGTGAACGACTGAGCCTTTTGGGGATGCTCCCTTTACACCCAACCATGACACTCACCTGTTTCCAATTAACCTGTTCACTTGTGGAATTCTCCAACCAGGTGTTTTTTGAGAATTCCTCAATTTTCCTAGTCTTTGGTTTCCCCTGACTCAGCCTTTTTATGGAATGTTACAGTCATCAAATTCAACATGAGTGAATATTTGCAAAAAACAAAAAACAAAACAACAACAAAAAAAAGCCAAAGTTTATCCATATTAGCATTAACTAGCTTGTCGTTGTAGTGTGTTAAATTGAATATAGGTTGAAAAGGTTTTGMAAATCATTTTGTTTTTATTTGTTTTACATAACGTCTCAACTTCAGTGGAATTGGGGTTGTACGTTCTATAAGAGAGGTCATGCAACCATAAAGCAAAGCACTCACAGGCTGGTCTCTGCATGTGTTCAATTAGTTTGTCGCTGTTAATCACTGTCAAGTTGCTATTGGGTGCACTGCAGCTAGTTCTGACCTTTTTCTGAAGAGCTTATAGTGGACATTATTTGCGCTAAAGGTCATTTCCCGTAGAGATTAAACACAGCGCGATTGTCGCATCTGCTCGCTGAATTGGCTTTATCACTCAAAAATGCACCAAATTCCCTGTTGCTTTCTTTGTGTACCTCATCCTCCCTGTTCCTTGTTTTGTTTCCTGCTGGTTTATCACTCATTCTTTCAGTAATTCAGCCCCGGCATGAAATTGGATGTTATTTTTTTTAGGTAATATTTCAAGTCAGGATTTTTTTAATTTTCCATTCCAGCTCTGTGCAGACCTAATTAAGATCAAATCAGCTGGATATTAATGTATATGTATCATAGATTTGCCATCAATCTAATTAGGTAACCTTACAGTGTGACTCAGTCATGCGTCATTAATCTCCAAACAAAAGGATCATTTGTCCGTTCACAAAATGTCTGCTTTGCTGTGCGGTGGAGTTCTTAGTATTACGCTAAAATGTAAGATGGCAGTAAAGTTTCACCTGGGTGTTGTCTCATAGCTTGACATTCACTGTGACCCCGACTACGGCAGCAAATGAAATAAAACTGCATCTATTATTAGCAAATAATTAACAACATTAAAAATTAAAATTCTTCAGCGCTAACAAACATCTTTTTTTTAACTTGTGTGTGTTTTTGTCTGTTTTTGTGTCCCTGTAGGATGAAGAGGAGGAAATTAAACTGGAGATTAATATGCTAAAGAAATATTCCCATCACAGAAACATAGCCACATATTATGGTGCTTTCATTAAAAAGAGCCCCCCAGGACATGATGACCAACTATGGGTGAGTCCTCAAATCCTGTTTAGATTGTAAAAACGTGGGGGGTATGAACAGCTGCTGTGTTGCAATCTTTAAGACACTATATGTCCTTAAATCTGCTCTTTCTTCATAATTCCATGTGTCTGTGATGTTTTGGTAAATTTATTGCCTCTACTCAGACATATGGGAGTTTTTTCCTGATGATTTGTGTCTGTTTTGCAGCTGGTGATGGAGTTCTGTGGTGCTGGTTCGATCACAGATTTAGTGAAGAACACTAAAGGGAACCAGTTAAAGGAAGACTGGATCGCCTACATCTCCAGAGAGATCCTCAGAGTGAGATTCAATT